AGATAGATAGATAGATAGATAGATAGATAGATAGATAGATAGATAGACTGACTTACAATATACATATAACAAAAACATTGTAAGTGTGACTCAATACTTACAAAGGCTGAACTCCAAAGCTAAGTATAGAATGGAATTCAGATGAAGCATCTTCCATTTCTTTATTAAGTAAAGATGGGGCAATTTTGGTATCTTCAAAAATCAAATAAAAGATTGTTACATTTTGATTTTAACTAACTGAAATAAATACTTTTTGCTATAAAAATTCTTACTTTTATTATAAAAATGCAATTTAGTCATTTGGCCAAAATTTCTCTTTAGCCATATGAGAAATTAAATAGACTCGATGCATAAAGATTTGTAATTTCTCTCTAAGTTAGTGACCTTAAAATGTAGAAATAATGACAAAGCCATCCTAATGCAATATACTAGTAGAGACAATAAACTAAGAAGAAATTAATAAATCATAAAAGAAATGGAATATTGACTGCACCAGTAAAATACGGCTATAAGAAAAGATTATGAGAAACAATAAAGATCAATGGAAGCAATTTTGTGATTGGAAAACAAATGGGATTACATCTTAACTTATTCAACAGCATTTAAAAAGAGTTCTTCTCAGTTCTAAAGCTCTCCATCAGATTCACTAACCTTTATTGCTCTTCTTGTTGTAACCAGCTATCCGAGCCATAACAATCTCTAGCCACTTGGACAAAGACAGAAGCTGAGCTACCATTTCTGCATCCTCACTGACAATACAAAAAGACAGCCATGGAATGTGCATGTTTTACACACGACATCACTTAAACAGCTATTGGGTTATGATGGTGATTATTCAAATATCTTGCTGTGATTGTTCGAGCTATCAAAAAATGGTCTTTCCTATAAAGATAAGGAAGGTCTTATACTGGACAATTAGGCTAATAAAATGATCAAACACATAGTCCTTGACTTACAACTATTCATTTAGTGACCATTCGAAGTTACAACAGCACTGAAAAAAGTGACTTAAGACCAATTTTCACCCTTATGACCACTGCAACATCCCCATGGTCAGATCATCAAAATCCAGGTGCTTGGCAACTGGCATGTATTTATAAGAGCTACACTGTTCCGGAGTCATATCTGTAACTTTCCCAGATGCCTTCTGACAAGCACAGTCAATGAGGGAAGCCAGATTCACTGAACAACCACATTATTCACTTAACAACTGCAATGATTCACTTAACAACTGTGCAAAAAAAGGTCATAAAATGGGGCAAAAATCATTTAACCTTGCTTAGCAACAGAAATTTTGGATTCAATTGTGGTCGTAAGTTGAGGGCTACCTGTATAACATACAAAAGAATCATATATTTTCCCTATAAATGTTAAGAAAAACAGCTACAGATTAAAATATAGGAAAAAGTAAATATAGCCACATACCTGTTTATCTTCTCTTCTTGCAAAGGAATAATTGGTATCACAGTATTGCACAGGGATTTGCACAGTGGGCAAAGGTACTCGCCATTCCCTAAATCAAAAATTTGTTCAACGTGATGACGTTGTCGAGAATTCAGTTGAATGGCTTCAAAGTATCTGAAATGGATATTCAGATGGACATCTCAGAATAAACCACGTAACTCAGACATGCAAACACCCAGTTCTGAAATTTGTTGTCCATTCAATTTGACTATTTTACCAATAAATAATTATAGTATGTATACAGTCCTCGCTTATTGACTGCAATTGGGACCAGTACTCCTTCGCTAAGTGATGTGATTATAAAGTGAAATGTCATATAATTGTTCCGGATTTACTACATCATTTCCAACTGTAGTCGTAAAGCAAATAATTAAATATGTCCCGTGACCATGATTTGCAACTTCCTACTTGCTTCCTTATCAACTTCGCTTGTTGGAATTCGGTTGCAATGGTTGGAAATGATAATCATGTGACTGCAGGATGCTGCAACCATCACAAATGTGCACTGGTTATCAAGTGTTGGAATTGTGATCATGTAACCATGAGCAAGATGCAATAGCTATAATTCAAGGACCAGTCATAAAAATCACCCTTTGCAGCCTGCCTTTAAACTGTCACTGAATTAGCAGTCAGTAAGCGAGGACTACCTGAACTCATTGCATTTATATGGAGCAGAAGCTACCATTCAGGAAAAGCTGTTAGGCAACAGCTCAACACAAACAAAAGCTACATAGATAAGCGGTTTTGAAAAAAATAAGAATTTAACATTCACACCACTAACAGTGACTTAGCACTCAGTCAGCCAACCGTAGTACAAATTGGTCCCTATAACTTGAGTGTTGTCAGAAAATTATTCAGAAAATCAGATTATCTGGACACAACCTTGATTTTTTAAAAATACCTTTGAAATGTTTGTTAGCTGGACAGTTATTAATTTAAATGGATATAAATGTGATATAATAGCATGCAAATGTTTGTGTTCTCCTTCATCAGGCAACTTGGTGAAGAACAAAAAAAGGAAGGGGGAGAAGAAAAGAACAAATGAGGGTACCATGGAATTTACACTAATCCACACCTTAAGGTCTTGAGACCATAACTTAAGGCAAATTCAGCCATTCTCTTATCCATCCCCTAGGTTTAATTCTTTTTAATTTTTTTCTTTATTTATTGTCTTATTTAATGAAGAAATCTACATAAAAAAGTAAAGCTGAGAGCTACTATGTTATGTTTGAATTAGCCTATGACATGTCTTCCCTCACTCTGGCATTTGGAACTAAATCAACAAATAATTTTTCCTCTGCATTTAGCCTTATATTTCTTTGGATACATTCCTTGGCTATATAAAATGACTGGCACTGATGATGTTACCTAGTTTGGGCAGTCTGAAAACTGACTAAAGATTAAGTAAACAATAAAAATTACTGAATATATGAACTCACTTCTGCCAGCAAGCAGCATGCATCACATGACCACAGGTGCTGGTATGTGTTCCACATGACAAGTCCGGATCCATGAAAAGAGGATCAATGTCTTCTGTTGAGGAAAATAAATTAATAAACACAGTTTCCTGTTGCAATGAGGGATGCTTTGCAAATTGTATATTAATAAACTTATACAATTCTGGCAAGGGACATCTTTTTAGGGAATAAAAAAGAACTTATCATTTATGTTAAAATTAAAAGACTAGCAAATGATCTTTTGCATTACATGTGATCAATCGGTGTATCTATATTTGTCAATATTTGGTCAGCAAAATTCTAGTCTTTTGTAATTTTAGGATTTTGAGGATTTTTAAAATAAAAGCTAGGATGAGAAGCTATCCACTGGAAGCAAAGAATCTGATAAATAAAGTATATCAGGTTCATTAATGCTATATGCTATATTCCTATGTGTAAATTGTTCCTATGATGTATGATCACATAGTAGAACTATTGCCAAGGATGTTAATAAAACCAAGAAATAGAACCCTTAACACACTGGGGGGGGGGGGGGTCAGGCTTGGGCACACAACCCAGTCTTCCTGGCCTTATGAAGGGGCAACAGGGTTAGAATCATCCTAATCTCAGAATGGAAAATATTCCAGAGGACAGGGATTACAGCAGAGAAGGCACAATACCCAGTTGTTATTCTTTTGTTGATGGGACCCATGACATGCCCAACCTTCCAGACCAAACTGGATGGACAGAAACAACAGGAAGAAGTTTGTGTAACTGTCCCCAAGACAGGAAGGATCTTAACGATGATAACCAGCTTAGTTATCAAGGTGGATAACCATCTTTAAATGCACTTGGAAGCCAGTGCAGCTCACATAGCACTGATGATGTGTTGACTTATCAGATACCCTTTAGTACCCATGCAGCCAATAGTTGAAGCTTTCGTTGAAGGGCAAGGTGTTACAGGAATCCAGAGAAGCCACCAGGACATGAGAGAGTGTGAGCAAAACCTCCCAATTCAGGAAAAGACTCAACCCTAAAGTGTGCTAAGGTGCACAAAGGCCCTCGTGGCCATGGCTGCCACCTGCTGTTCTATTAGGATCCTTGAATCCAAGAGGACCCCCAGGTTGCATACTGGGTCCATCTGGGGCAGTGCCATCCCATCCAGCATTGGCATTGAGAAAAAATTGTCATTAGAAGGCCCCAAAACCCAAGCCGCTCAGTCTTCCTTGGACTGAATCAAAGCCCACTGCACCTTGTCCAAACCTTTACCGTCTCCAGCACCAAGACAAGACATCCAAGATGTTGTTTAGGCAGCCCAGCATAGAGATATAAATCTGGGTATCATCAGCATATCAATGCTACCTTACTCTAAACTGTTGGATCACCTCATCCAAAGGCCTCATGTAGGTGTTAAATAGGAGAGGAGAGAGAACTGATTCTTGAGATCCCTTCTGGATCTCTCTAGCTGGATCTCCCTGCCTCCCCCAATAAAAAAAACAGAGACTGGAACCGACCCAAGAGGAAGGAGAAAAACAAAAAGAAAACAGTGCTGCTCACTCCCAACTTCTGAGATCACTCTAGAAGGATACATGGTTGGTGGCTGAAAGTGGCTGAGAGGTCAAAAAGAGCAAGCATGGTCACATCCTGCTCCTACCAGAGGCCATCTATAAGCATCATCAATACCATCTCAGTCCCATAACCCAGCCTGAATCCTGACTGGAAAAAGTCCAGACAATCAGCTTCACCCAAGGTCCTTTGCAGCTGCTATCAAATTCCCCCAAAGTTTCACAACGTTAATATACATACCTCCTGCAAGTTCAAGTTCTTTCCCTCTACATTGGGTTAAGGCAGTGGATTTCTGGATGCAGGCAGATAAAACCATGGCAGCATTTTCTAGCATTACTTCCTGTTCTTCCTGACACAGGATACATGTCAGCCTTTCTTTTTCGGTGACAGACTGGCCTCGCTTGGGCCCCAAGGCGATTCTAACTTGATAATGTGGGAGTATGAACCTAAGACACAAGATTCGAATCGGTGGATTTTTGGTCAACAATCCAGTCAAAGTTCACTACAATTATTCGTAATTTAGTTTTAGATAAAAATCAAATTCATTTTAGAACTATTAAACATGGATCTATCCTCAACTTGAACTTCAAACTAAAACCTGTTCAATGCGGCACCTATCAAGCAACTGAACCCAGTGAATTTGAATAGTAATGTAAGAGCATTGTAATCACAGAAAGCTACAAATGCTTGACTGGGTTCTGTGATGAAATAACTTTCTTAATTTAATATTTAAAAACAATTTCATCACTCTGAGATTTTAAACAAAAGCCTGTTCAGCACAAGACGTAGTACAGAAGCAGATCCTTCCTGATTGAGGTAGGACAGATTAAACTTTATCTTGCGGGGATGGAAGAGCTCATACACTGACATATATTCAAAATCTGTGCGTACCACCATGCCCTTCTCTTATGAGCAGATTGAGGCCTGCTCTCAGTTTCTCAGATATAATTGGATGAGGCATTGCCTTGCCAAAAATACCTCACATTTTAGCACGGATACCTCTTGTACTATGGTCCACCCTACAGTATGTGAAAGGCATGAGCTGTGCCAATCCTCTTGCCTGCTAGGAGCTAGTGTTACTTTTCCCTCCCAGGGGATGGCTGTCTCTCCCATATTACTTCTTAATCAACATAGGCAGTCCTCAATTTATGACCACATCAAGGCCAAAATTTCTGTTGCTAGGTGAAACATTTGTTAAGTGAATTTTGCCCCCTTTTGCAACTTTTCTTGCCACAGTTGTTAAGTGAATCACTGCAGTTATTCATTTAGTAACAGAGCTGTTAAATGAATTTGGCTTCCCCATTGACTTTGCTTGTCAGAACGTCACAAAAAGTCATCATATGACTCTGGGACACTGCAACCTTCATAAATGAGCCAGTAACCAAGCATCTGCATTTTGAGTATGGAACCTTGGGGGTGCTGCGATGGATGTAAGTGTGAAAAATGATCGAGTCATTTTTTTCAGGGCTGCTATAACTCTGAATGGTCACTAAGTGAACTGTTGTAAGTCAAGGACTATCTGCATTGGAAGGGATTCAAAATGGTATATTACCACAATAAGAGAACCATTAACAATGTCCAACATATCTAGCTAACTGTGGGAGAGCGCAAACTGTTTGTCATGAGGATCTTCCAGGATTTATTTTTATTTCCTAGTCTAGCCTATAGTCCTGGGTGTTTCCAATCCAAATACTAACCAGGTCCAAGCTAACCTGGCTATTAATTTTTGCATTTATCTGATATGTCGTTCCCTCCCTCCTACCTCTCCACTTCCATAACATCTCTTCCAGGCGTTTCTTGCGTGTTTTCATACAAGAGCTTGTGAGTTTCTATGAAATTTTTCTGTAAAGCGGACATCTGAGCCATGATCTTTTGGCGATGTAATCGGGCTACTTCTGCTTTTCTCTTCCTCTCAGCCTTCTCCTTCTCCTGAATTTTCTGCATCTGATTTTAACAGAACAAACACCCTCTGTGTTATTTAAGACCATCACAGGCATAAAATAAAAATTGGCATTTCCTTCTGATAGTCTTGCCAAATCCCCAAACATCATGCTCTTCAGCCTAAGGTGAAAGGTTACGGTCCCAACAAGCTTTAAAACAGTGGTCCCCAATCTCTGCTGCTTGGCAGCCCCACTGGGTGGGAAGAGGGGAACCGGGCTGCATGAGCGGCGTGCCAGTGTAGTAGACACATGCAGTAGAACTGCACATGCATGTGAGTGTGCTCTGGCCTGCTGCTTGCACGAGTCAAGCTATGCACATGTACATGTTCATCGGCCTACTGCTCGCGCAGCCCGGTTGTGGGCCATGGCCTCAAAGTTGGGAACCCCTGCCTTACAGGGAAAAAAGTGCCATTGCACAATTTTCAGGAAAAGAGAACATTCCACCAAGGTACAGCGTGGTGACTGCAATTATTATGAGTATAGATAGTTCTCGGTTAATGACCATAATTGGGATCAAAATCTCAGTTGTTGAGCAAAGCAGTTGAGTGATGTATGTGACTGCTTCACTCAGTGATCACAATCCCAGTACCCCCAACTGCGGTTGTTAAGCAGTCACACAGATTGCTAAGTGAATCCTTTACCCCAGATAAAGAACACAAGTGTACAAACACAGAGAAACGGGGAGAGAAGGATTTTACCATAGAGTTAAAATCCTTTTCTCCATCCTCTCTGTATCTGCAGAGCTTCCGGGTGCTGAAATCTTTTTCTCCCCGCCTCTCAATGCCTGCGGAGGTCATGTGAAAAAGATAGCGAATGGTGATCACACCATCATTGGGTGCAACCAGTGATATACATGAATAGGTTGCCAGCACCCAGATTGTGATCACATGACTGCAGGGGGACGAGTGATGTTTCACAATGGCTGGAATTCTTTATTGGCCATAAAGCACCCTTTCTGAGCCATTAACGGTCATTAACTGAATCACACACTGTATATCGAGGAGTATCTGCTGGAGGGATGTGCAAACAAAGCATGCTCTACAAGAAGTAAAAACAAAGTAGAGGAATGAGAACACTTATCATTTCAGCTGGTCCTCTATTCATAAAATGCTTAAGAATATAAGGCTGCCTTATTTCATGGTTACCTCATGAACTTTTGTAGATTCTGACGTTGGTGCAGTGACGGCCATGGGAAAAGAAGACTTCTCTCTCAAGCATTTTATCATCTCAAACATCTACAAACACAGATTTAAGAGTTCAACACAAATTGCATGTAGCACATATAGTATTTCTAGTTTGCCCAGCAAGAAACATATGGAGATCCAAAGCATCCTCTTCTAATAACCATTTCAATTTAGCCAATATTGATTATTATTTTTCTTCTGTAGTTGGAACTTAATCATCTTTAATTGTTTTACTCCACTTGGGATCTACAGAGACTCTTTTGCCTTGTTTTGTTTTATAGGGAAGACCATAAGACAAGTCATACTACCCTCAATCCCCACCCTGTCAACTCCTGATTGATTTATTCACCTAATCCTTACTTACCCGTAGTACCCAGATGATCATGTCTTTTTGTGATTCCAGTTGTTGAATTCCTTTCAGCTTTTCCAAAATCATGAGGATGTTCATTGCATTTAAAGCAGAGCTTCCCATTCCTTTATCAACAGAAAGGATTTTTAACCAAATTAATATTAATTTTTTAATTAAATTAAATGAAATCAGCCACATACGTTTATTCTCCGAAAGGAGTTCCAATAATTGCTACAATTTGAATAATTCTTAGCAATGTGTATTTCACGTCTTTAAAAAATGGTATTTATGAAGCTCTCCTGGGTTAGGGAGAGTCATCCCACAAGATCCTCCATTCAGCGATGGGTTTGCAAGTTGCTTCAGGAGTTGTGCTTTGAAGCAGCCTGCATGTCGACAGCTGGGAGAGCAGGGCTACAATCAGTTTGTTGTTGAAGAAGTAGCTATTTTGGAATTTATTTTTATTTTTCAAATCAACAATAAATTGTGCCTTTATTTCTTAATCATTTTAAGGACTATTAATCTATATTAAGCTCTCTAGGTTATTTAAAAGTAACATTAAAAGTAACTTGAAATTTGGCACGTATGTTCCTCTTGGTTTCTAGGTCCTCACTAAGAGCATTAGTATTTTGTATATTATTATTAACACGCTCTGATGCTAATGAGTTCTACTCCCCTCCCCACCTGAAAAGAAATCTGTTCCAAATGCAAAACACAAGCAGAGGAAAGGAGTTTCAGTTTCAGAGTACCAAGCAGCTTTAGTACAGAACAGTTGAGCTAAGCCACGCCCAGGCTCCTTGCTGTCTCCTTCTTGCTCACACAGCAAATACTGTTTCACTTTCCAAACAGCCATGGATGATGGTAGGCAGAGGCAGAATTTTTCCCCCCTTATTTTCTTCCCCAAAAACTAAGCCCGACCACGTAGTTTCGTAGTGAAGCATGGGTATCGAGCTAGTTGCTAAATATAGATTTTCTTTTTCCAAGGTGGCACACTTACTGGAAGCTTTATGATAGAAATCAAAGGTCACTTCTTCCTCTGGAGTCTCCTCTAACTGACGCTTCTCTTCAAGTAAACCCAAAGAAAGGAGGTGAAGGACCTATGTAGAGACGGGTAGCAAATTTAATCCTTCAGAGTAATGGAATATTCTCTAATAGTCAGGTAACCACTCTAGCCAATCTTAGCCACGACCATCTTTTAGGACAGAAACAAACACCAGGCTTGTATTTGGATGGTGAGACACACACAGCAATTAAACAAGTACCCCAAACCAGCTTGTCACAATAGGATGTGAAGGGATGTAGACCTGGCCATGGGAATGCAGAGGGAACAAACAAAGTGTTAAGGGGGAAAGAGTTAGAAAAGATTAATAAATCCCGAGAAAGAAGAAAAGAAAAATTGAAAATTAACTTCATTTTGATTATGTTGGGTATAAGGTGAGGTATTCAGAAGCTCTGACAAGTTGTTATTCTATCCCTCGGCACTAAAGAACATTTTTGGATTCCCTGCAGTGCTGGTATTTGACCTCAAAAAGGTAAAATAGGCAAATGAACGGCCAAACATGGAAGTTTTTCAAAATGCTGCCAGGTCATTTTGCCTAGGTTCATGTAAATGTAAGACATGTAAGAACACAATCCCCTAATCCAAGCAATACCATAAGAAGAAAAGGATTGGTGAAATTCTCCTGAGTAAATTATCGGCCTTCTGGTGTTTAATACAAAAACACAGTTCAATTATTTGGATGTCTACCGCAGTACTAATGGAAACAGAGAGAAAAGAGCCATATCTTTCAAGTACATGCATTAAAATTGAATATGCCTCCTTTTGTCTGCTGATCAATATACAAATTTAAAAGTTCTGATTTTAATAATTCAAAAAATAGAGACAGTCATGATGTCTTTCATGAATTATTCCCTGATGTACAAATTAATAGCTTAATTGGGGAAGTGAGGGAGGGGAAAGAGGATATTTCTATAATTCAAAAAAATGGAGACAATCATGATCTCTTTCATGAATTATCCCTGATGTCAAATATATTATTGTATGCATGCTGATGTCCATTGTTTAGATGATAATAAAACAGTTATCAAGAATTGTTTTGAAATAAATAAAATGCTAAGGCAAATATAGGTCTCCAAAAGCCCACATACGTATAGATATATGGAGTTAGGAATCATTTGAGGTAGAGCATACAAATGAATTTGAAAAATATATACTGGAAATCCCCAAAAGCATTTAAGATAAAGATATTGCTAAAACATGGTCTCATTCTAACAAGCCAGGGCTGACAAACATACCATCTGTATCATAGCTTCTGTCCACATGTGATTTTCCAGCTCTAGTGCTCTTTGCAGGACAGTTCTAAGAATAAGCATCATGATATCACAGTTGAGAACATTCACCACATTTCTGAAAGCAGGACTGAATTCTGGAGGTGTAGGTGGTGGGAGTGCTACAAAAATGCAGACATATATTAGTGCATTACTGCCTACCCATCTTACGGTATTATGAATGAAAGAAGTCTAAGCTTTCAGATTTGGTTGATATCGATGAACTAATATATAGCCAGGAAATAGAAATTACCCTTACAAGAAGACAAAACCAACCGTACATGCTTCTTCTTATACAGTGTTTTGTGAGACATATGAACACTCCTAGATCTGGTGGTGTTTCAGACAGTCACTCATGCCCTAGTCACATTGCACTTTGATTACTGCCTTGTTGTTATGCTTTTTGTGTGTGTGTGTGTGTGTGTGTGTGTGCACGCGTGCGTATGTACACTGGCCGTGTAATACTTTGCTTTGCCATGTTTCTTTTCTATTCTTCATTTAGTCTTTCTTGTAAGTCACTATGGTCTTTCACGAAACCCTCATTGTATACTAGCTTCAGTATATCTACTTCACTGTCCTTCAGGTACTCTTCCAGTGCCCCTTTATTTTCTTCAGCTATCTGGTGCACGTCCAACATTCCATACCCACCTATGCTCCTGGGTAGGTAGAATCTGTCAATATCACTATGGATGAAGGATCTGATTCACTGTCATTATTTTCTGGTCTTCCTATCCAGGGGTTTTAGTTCTGCTTAAATCCAGTCCATTATTCCAGCTGTATATCTAATGACTGGAATTGCCCAGGTGTTAATTGCCTTGATGTTATTTCCTCCACTGAGCTTGGACTTTAAGATCCACTTCAATCTTCTTGACTTCGGTGCTTGAAACTGTCAGCTTGAAGGATGTCCACGTATCTGTAGTGATCTTCTTCATACAGACTCTTGATTTTATTTTCATTATTATTTGAAAGTAACTGCCCATTATTACTGCCAACGTCTCTTGCTGCTCCAATGCTTAGGTCAAAATGAAATAAATCTCTGCTAAGCTGAATTGAGGTTACTTAATGGACACATCTGTGCAATTTTTTTCAGCAATAATGAGGAAGTGGATTCACCACTGCTTTCTTTAGGGATATTTTTTTACTTCGTCTAGTCCGGGTGTCAGCAACCTGTGGCTCCAGAGCTGCATGCTCTTTGGGCCCTCTGCTACAGCTGCCTGTCAGCTGAACGCACCACTGGCTAGCCCCTTCCCTCGCAGTCACTCCTCGTCTAAGAAGGTAAGGGAGACAGTGGCAGATGGAGACTTGCTCCATATTCCAGAACCGGAGTGAACCGCCCTTGTACTTGCCTCTTCTTCCGGCCTTTGTTGGTGCTGTGTGCACTTCAGTCGCTTGGGGAGATGCACAACTTTTTCTCCGCCCCGAGACACTGCCCAGTCCGGCTCTGGCTGACACTGCTGCTCTCACCACCTCCGTGGCCTGCCCACTTAAATTTAGCACGCTTCACAATGGGGGAGATAGTGTCCCCTCCTCCTCCTGGAGCCATTATGACACGGAGCATCGGTCGCAGCAGGGTCAGTGTTTCGGGATGGAGAGAAAGTCGCGCGTCATGGGGCCAGCCAGTGGTGGGTTCAGCCGACAGGAAGCCACAGCAGGGGGACGAAAGAGCTTCATTTATGACTGTTAATTTAAATCATATGGTAAAAAGCACCCAAAGAAGAAGAAAGAACATCAGAAAAAAAAAACCCAACCCTCTCCTGTTTTTGGAAATAGTTCAAGAGGGAACACACACACACACACACACACGAGAGGGGTGGGGAGAGAGAGAGGTGAGAGAAAAAGAGAGAGATAAGAGACAAAGAAAGAGGGAGAAAGACAGACAAAGAGAAAGAGGGAGAGAGAGATGAGAGGCAGAGAGAAAAAGAGAGCAGAGAGGGAGAAAGAGAGATGAGAGGGAGAGAGAGGGGAGAGAGAGAGAGACAGAGAGACAGAGATACCTGTTTCCAAGAGAAAATACTGGGAGCCACAAGACCTGGGTAGGAATGGCTGGGGTGTATGTCATGTGACTGGGTGGGAGTGAGTGACATAGAGTTGGCCATGCCCACCCAGGTTTTGTGGCTTCTCTGTGTTTTCTTTTCTGTGGGAAAAGGGTCCAAATGGCTCTTTGAGCAATTTCAGATCCCTGGTCTAGTCCAAAGTCTTGATAAATTTTTTGGTGGCTTTCCATCTAGATATACTAATAAAATACAACACAACTTAGTTTTATTACATCAGCCAAGATTGGCTAAGTACTAACATCCAGAGACCTTTTAAGAGGTTAGCCAAGAAATCTAACTTGCCAACTTTGCAAATGCAAACTACAGTATGTGATTATTGAGCTATTGTTTCTTCCACTGATCTACTCCCTGACTAATTTTAGACCTTGTTAAGCAAATTGGTACTACTTAATAGTGGCACTGATAAAGCTTTGAATTTAAAATATATTAAGGCACCACAACATAGGTTCAGAGCAATAATGATCAATGTATTATGGCTCTTATCAAGAGTCCTTCTTTGAGGCAGATAGGTGGATCAGAAATGTGATAGATAGATAGATAGATAGATAGATAGATAGATAGATAGATAGAT